TACTTGGGTCCACAATCAATTCTCATGGAAGCAGCAGTCAAGAACTCAAAAGATGTATTGCATTGGGCAAATCTGCTTCAAAAAATCTCTTTAAAATGTTTAAGAGCAAAGATTCCACTTTGAAGATTAAGATACACCTGAGCCAAGCTATGGTATTTTTAAGTCTCTTAAACATATGAGAGCTGGACAATGAATAAGAAAGACCAAAAAAGAATCGATGCATTTGAATTGTGGTGTTGGCAAAAAATATTGAATGTACTGCTAGAAGAATGAATAAATCTGTCTTGGAGGAAGTACAATTGGAGTGCTCCTTAGAAGTGAGAATGGCCAGTCTTCTTCTCTCATACGTTGATCATGTTGTCAGAAGGGACCAGTCCCTGGAGAAGGATATTATGCTAGGAAAAGTAGAGGGTTAGCAAAAAAGGGAAAGATCCTTAAGGAAATGAATTGACACTGTGTCTGCAACAATGGCATGGCAATGATTGTGAGGACAGCACAGAACAGGCCAGTGTTTCATTCTGTCATACCCAGGGTCACTATGAGTTGAAACTAACTCAATCATACTTAACAATAACAACAACCCGACTGAGAGAGTATCTTCAGAAACCATATATCTGACAAAAATCTAATAACCAAAATATATATAAAAGTTTGACAACTTAACAACAAAAAGACATTTAACCCAACCATAAATGGGCAAAGGACTTGAATAGACATTTCATCAAAGAGGGCATTCAAATGGTCACCAAACATGTGAAAAGATGCTCAGAATCATTAGCCATCAGAGAGATGCAAATCAAAACCACGAAGAGATATCATTTCACTCCCACTAGGATGGCTAAGATAAGGGAAGAGGAAAACAAGAGCATGAAGAAATTAGGGATCTAGGTAGGATCCATGTAACTGGTCTAGCCTTAGGCTTGGATGAGACAGTATCTGGTGGCCTGTGGCAGTAGGCAGGCATATGTGCATGCAAGGCAGGCTGGACATGGTGCAGGCACATTGCCATTACTCTGAATCTCACTCCAAACAGTAGGGCTGCATCACTGTTCACTCTGCATAGCATGGTCTGCACCCAGCAGTACAGGCAGGGAATGGTGGGTCAACTGCTGTTTATAATGTTAAATTTATAATGTTTATAATGTTAAATTTATAATGTTTATAATGTTAAATTTATAATGTTTATAATGTTAAATTTATAATGTTTATAATGTTAAATTTCTGTAAAATAAATTGCATTTGTAATTGCAAAACAAAACAGAATAAGTAACCAAAAAAATTACAAAGTTGGCAAAGATGTGGGGGACTTGAAACACTTATCTGTTACTGATAGTAATGCAAAATGGTACAGCCATTGTGGAAAACAGTGTGAGAGTTGCTCAAAAAAGTGTATATAAACACAAAACTTAAAAGCAGAGACTCGGAGACTTGTACACCAAAGTTCATTGCAGCATTATTCACAATAGCCAAAAGATGTAAACAACCTAAAAGCCCATCAACAGATGAATGGATAAACAATATGTAGCACATACATAAAATGGAATACTATTGAGCCAGAAGGAGAAGCAATGTCTTGATACATGCTACAGTATGGAAGGAGCTTGAAGGCATCATGCTGAGTGAAATAAGTCAATCACAAAAAGACAAATATTATATGACCTCACTTATATAAAAAGATAAGAAAAGGCAAATGTATAGAGAGCAAAGTTTATTAGTGGTTATCAGAGGTAGGAGGGAGGTAGAAAGGGGGAGGCATTAATGATAATGGAAAAATCACATTGAATAAGAGTAGGGTTGCATAGTTGATTATAGGTGCTCTGGTGGCATAATGCCTAAGGCATTTGACTGCTAACCAGAAGGCTAGGTTTCAAACCCACCAGCCACTCCTCAGAAGGAAGATTGGGCAATCTACTTCCGTAGTGATACTGCCTCAGAAACCTAAGGAGGGGTCACCATGAGTAGCATCCAACTTGACAGCAGTATGTTTGGTTGAGTTTTTGGTCAATAAGTTGTATATTTATAAAAAGTTGAATTGACAAATGTTGTGTGATAGATATATTTACAACAACAACAACAAAATGTATCAGTTGAGGCTTCTTATGCACAAGCAAAAACCTCATGGAATTTGATTCTTTAATTTGGAGGTGTAAGGTCATGATTTCGTGGGACATCTCAATAAATTGGCCTAATAACATATTTAGTGCTTTTGTTCTACCTCCTAGCTCTTTGTGTTTTGCCTGAGATCTTAAAAACTTGCAAGCAGCCATCCAAGGCACAGTGATTGGTCACTGTTTGTGTGGAACAGCAGAGAAAGAAGGTGAGTCAAAATAAGAGGAGGAAATGGCATGTGTGGCTTTGCCATGAGACTAGAACTATATGGTGCCTGGCTACCATTACTGAACATTTTGATAGAAGATTCCATTGAAGAATCCTGATCAAAAAGGGGAATATACAGAACAGAATTTCAATGGACTCCAGACTTTATGGAGACTTGGAGGCTGAATGAACCCCTGAAACTATTGCCCTGAGATGATTTTTAAACCTTAAACCAAAAATATCCCTGGAAATCTTCTTAAAACAATAGTCTAGCTTAAATAAAAAATGTTTGCCATGAGCATTATGCTCTTTTAAGAACTATCTGTATGAAATCAAAGCAGCAACAGTAACTTAAAAGATTAGATAGGAACCTTAAGAGGCAGTGAGTTTATGTTAATGGGGAGGACCAACTCAGCAAAGAAGGGTAATAAAGGATGCACAGCTTGAAGAATGGAGTCAATGTCACTGAACTGCACGTGTAGAAACTGTTGGATTGTTGCATGTTGCACTGTGTATTCTCAACAACAATGACACAAAATCCTATGGAGCAATCCACTCTATAACAGCTGGAGTCCGCATGAGGTGGGTGCTGACATGACAGCAGTTAACAAAAACAACCACCTGATGCTAAGCGCTAGCACTCTCTAGGATACCAGTCTGCCCCTCTGGAGCTTGCTCTGAGAAAGCTTTGTAGGAAGGCTGTCCATTTCCTTAAGTTTCATACTATACCCTAGCTGCCTGGAGCATACATACCCCATCCCCAAGTTCACTGAAGTACTCACAATCAGTAGGCATCCTATCATCAGTGTTATGTTTTCCTTCTTCCCCCGTTCACAACCCAAATTCCCTCAGGTTAACTCCTCAACAAGGTGTCAGAAGGATTCATTCAATTACAGCCTTTTCATTTTAGATGAAAAAACTAATAATGGAAAGCTCTAGCATTTTAAATGCTGAGGGTGCAACTGGCATCAAAGGAATCTGATAGGATTTCAACTGGCCCACAAGACAAAGGAGAGGCCCTGCCCAGAAAAAATCCAGGGCAGCGTGCTCTCCTAGTGTTCCCAGCTCCTACTTTGGCAGCAGCAACTTGTGGGTTGTTGTTGTTACTAGGGAAAAACAGTACCTCATTTCCAAAGCACAGCTCTATCTTCAGCACACAGCTTCACAAAAGATTTGTAAAGACCTGTTTTCTGGATCTCTGTTTTAATTAAATACAAAAATGCAGTATCCTTAAAGCCTTGAGACACATTCTATAGTATATATCTATCTAATGTCATTTCCAAACCAAAAAACTAAACTCACTGTCATCAAGTTGGATCCAACTCATAACGACCCCTCCTTAGGTTTCCGAGACAGTATCACTACGGAAGTAGATTGCCCAACCTTCCTTCAGAGGACTGGCTGGTGGGTTTGAACGACCAACCTTCTGGTTAGCAGTCAAATGCCTTAGGCACTATGCCACCAGAGCTCCCATGTCATTTCCAAAGCAACCTTTTAATCATATTAATAATAGCTAATATTTTTGGTATTGGTATACATTATTTCATTGACTGCTTATTTAAAAAAAAAAAAAGAAAAAGAAACCGTATTATTCATTAAGAATTTTACAGACTGAAAATCAAAGGTGTTAAGCATTTGGCCAAATTAATGTAACTATTAAATAACAGTGCTTGGAATTTGAGGACAGGTCTTCTGACTCCAGCACAATAGACCCTTGATTCAAAAGTATTCCCAGAAAGGTAAGTGTGGTCCTAAATTACATCTTAGTAATGAATCCAAGAATGTCTTTTAATCAGACAGGACCTATGTCAATGAAGACAAGACCGTCTAAGCGTCTAAAGAAACTGAAAGAAGATTATTCTGGAAAATCAGTTACAAAGGAATGACTCCATTGATGGAACAAAGAATTAGTGGACACATCCTTAAACCTCACAAGGATTCTTATCTCAAAGTGAATTGAGAAGCTCTTCTGCTACTAAAACAGAGCATCCTCTATTGTTGACTAAAGGAGCTATTATAGCTTTAAGAGCAAATAAATAGCAACAACTAGGAAATAAAGTGAGGGTGAGAACAAAGACTTACTAAGTCAGTTCAGGAAGCCCAGACACCTTGATTTCTCTGTCTCTCTCTCTGATCAGTGTCAACTCATGTCCCAAGTTTGAGATCCAGCCAGGCCAATTGGACCTCTCTCTACCACACAGAGGTGTCCCTGGATGGCTCAAACAGTTAAATGCTTGGCTCCTAACCAAAAGGTTGGAAACACATGGGGTTGTCATCAGTCAGAATCCACTCACTGGCAACTGGTTTGGTTTGGTTTGGGTTTCCTACTGCACAGAATTGGCTAATAATTTCTAACTTTTGCACCACCAGGATCCCTATTTAGTGTTTTTTTCCATGGTTCCATGGTTCCAGACTATTTTGTAAAGTATAGAATGTGTATAGTTATATCTCACCAGCATAAAGAAGTGGCAGAACAGGGTCTCGGGAGGCATAAGATATGGAGATGAATCCTGGCTCAATCACTTGTTAGTGGAATGACTTTGAGCAAGTCACTTAACTCCTGTATCCCTCAGTTTCCTCATCTTTAAATAATAAAGTGCCAACTCTTTGTGGACAAGGAATCCAGGCTATGAACCTCTGGGGAAGGCCTTTCTTCAGACTCCTCACATACGGAATCCACTTACATGTGCTCATTAATTTCCCACCATCCATGGTCACAGCCTTTCAAATTCTTCTTGGTTATTGAATAGTTGTGGAATTTCAGTGCTATGCCAAGAGTTGATAGGGGAGTCTGTGAAAAACAAACATTAAGTTAGATAAAGGCTTCAAAGGACACATTTCAGCTAGGTTTCTTTGTTCACTGAGAACTTGACTCTTGTTCATTGTTTTAAGGGTGTTTTATTCCTTGTGCTCTGTGGCTCTGGGTGGGGTAGATGAGTTTCCCTGAAGAGGAAGCTGGAGGATAAAATGGGCAGCCTGGTGCTCAGGAACTACTAGGCTCCAGGTTGATATGAGGGACGTTAAACACATTAGATCATATGTGGGTTTCAATCTCCTCCTGTGATTTAATTTAGCTTTGAAACACCTGGTTGTTAATGAGTGTAAGCATTTTCCTACTTCGATGAAAATAATGACACATTTTATTTAAAGCATTACTCAGAGTCTTTAGATAAAGGAGAAATGAATCATCATCTCTTTGTACTATACCCATGTGTCCCTGAAAACAGTTACTGAGTCACCCCTAGTTCTGCTCAGAAGAGATCAAACAAAAGAAGTGACTGACTGTGTAGCTCATTTATATGTGTATTCTTACAGTGCCTGGCACCTAATAGACATTCAGTAAGGTTTGTTGAATGGGTAAGAGAAGTTGAGTGAACAATCAGACAGAGTTTGAGCTTGAGCAAGAGTTAAAGCTTCTCAGATAAATGTTGTTGTTGTTATGTGCTGTCGAGTCAGACCCGACTCACAGCAACTCCTTGTTGGGTTTCCAAAGGTAGTATCACTACGGCAGTAGATTGCCCAACATTCCTTCCAAGGAGTGGCTAATGGGTTTGAACCGCCAGCCTTTTGGTTAGCAGTCAAGTACCTTAGGCACTACACTACCAGAGTTCCTTAAAAACTCAGCTGAAACAATAAAAAGACAAACAACCCAGTTAAAAAATGCACATAGGACATAAACAGACACTTCGCCAAAGAAGACACACAAGCAGCCAACAAATACATGAAGAGATGCTTGCGATCATTGTCATTAGGAAGACGCGAATCAAAACAACAGTGAGATATCTTCTCATCCTGGAAATAATAGCAGTGATGAAAAACACAGAAAATGACAAATGCTGATAAGGGTGTAGAGCTATTAGAACTCTCATACACTGCTATTGTTGTTGTTATGTGCCGTCAAATCAGACTCTGCTCATAGCGACCCCTCCTTAGGTTTCTGAGGCAGTATCACTACGGAAGTAGATTGCCTCATCTTCCTTCCAAGGAGTGGCTGGTGGGTTTGAACCACCAACATTCTGATTAGCAGTAAAGTGTCTTAGGCACTATACTACCAGAGCTTCCCACTGCTAGTGGGGCTTTAAAATGGTACAACCACTATGGAAAATAGTATGGCACTGCCTTAAAAAGTTAAAAATAGAGATACCATATGATCTAGCAATCCCAGTACTAGATATATATCCTAGAGAAATAAGAGCTGTGACATGAATAAATATATGCACACACTGTGGAAGTTAAATTTGTATGTCAATTTGGCTGGGCCTGGTTGAGTGGTGGGAGAGCTGGTGGTAGTTATTCCCCATGATGAGAGTGGCAATCAACTCTATGGTGGGATCTACCACAAGCAGCTGAGGGGGAATGTGGTCTGCTTCCTGTATATAAGGAGAAGCCTTGGGGATAGTCTCTAGCTTTTGGCACATTTGGACCCTGCAAGTAGCTATGTCATTTTTCAGCAGCCTGCCCATGCTCTGCCAACCTTGAAACTTACAAAGGACTTGAATTAACGGCCTGCCATGTGGTTTAGTAACATCGGAACTGTGCCATTTTATTTGTCAACCTTGGGTGTGTTAGCCTCAGCAACCAGCAGCTGCCTGAGTGAAGAAATGCCTCTAGCTTCAGTGGGCCAGGAGCAAGAGGCAGAGCTGAAGCCCAAGGTTGAGGGGCTTTCACATAGCCCCTAGAGCCTGGCACTTTGAACTTGAACTTAAAGCCTCCAAATTATGAGTGAATAAACTCCTGTTTGTTAAGGTCATCCCATTTGTGGTATATTCCTGTCAGAGCAGCACTACGTAAGCAGAACACATATCCATGTTCTTCATAGCATTATTCAAAACACTAAAAAGATGGAAATACCCTAAATGCCCAAGAATGGAATTGATAAACAAACAATAGCACCTACATGTAATAGAATAGTACAAAATATTAAAGAATAACAAAGAATCTTGGAAACATTCACAACACGGATGAGCCTGGAGGACATTCCAAATCAAACTCTTTGCCACCAAGTCAATTCCAACTCATAGCAACCCACTGGGCTTCCAAGGCTATAAATCTTTATGGAAGCAGACTGTCTCATCTGTCTTCCACAGAGTGGCTAGTGGGTTTGAATCACCAACATTTTAGTTAGCTGCCAAATGCCTTAACCACTATACCACCAGAGCTCCTTTGAAGGTCTTTATGCTAAGTGAAGTAAGTCAGTCACAAAAGGACAAATATTGTATGAGACCATTAATATAAAAATCAAAGAAAGTTATACTCACAGGAAAACCAAAATGAATTTGTTGATGTTGACCAGGAATGGGAAGGAAAAGGAGACATATATTAATATGAATAAAGGGAAAGGCAATACACAATAAGGGGGAGGTGAGTACAACATGACCAAGGCAAAAGAAGACACTGGGAGGTACACAAGAGTAAAAGGCAACAAGGATCAATACTATTACATAGACAATCCTGCAATGATGGTAATAACAAATAATAATTTACAAGTGGATACACAGGTAGATATGTAAGTTGAACCGTTGTGGGATGGCATATAGGAGTACACCGACAAGCATAGATAGGTCTGGCAGAGAATATATCTACATACATATTTGTATGTGCTACAGATATATCCACGTATATAGTGGGAGCTCTGGTAGCGTAGTGCCTAAGGCACTTGACTGCTAACCAGAAGGCTGGCAGTTCAAACACCAGCCACTCCTCGGAAGGAAGATGGGGCAATCTACTTCCATAGTGATACTGCCTCAGAAACCCAAGGAGGGGTCGCTATGAGTTGGGTCCAACTCCACGGCACATAACAACAACAACAGCAACAGATATGTCCAGGTATATAGTAGGGCATACAAGAGGCAAAATTATGCAAAGTTCTTAGTGATAACCAAACACCTAGAAGGAGTAAGTCACTGGCCTTGAGAGCTTTGGAGCATAGTCTCAGGGGATATTTAAGTCAATTGGCATAGCATAGTCCATAAAGACAATGTTCCACATCCTACTTTGGTGAGTAGCAACTGAGGTCTTAAAAGCTTATGAGCAGCCATCTAAGGTACAATTATTGATCTCCCCCCATCCAGAGAAAGAAGAGTGAAGAAAATCAAAGACTCAAGGAAAATTAGTGCAGAAGACTAATGGACCACACGAACCACTGTCTCTACTAGCCTAAGACCAGAAGAACTAAATGGTGCCTGGCTGCCACTACTGACCACTCTGATTGGAGGCACAATAGAAGGTCTTGGACAGAGTGGGAGAAAAAATATAAAACAAAATTCAAAATCATAAATAGGACTAGACTTACTGGTCTGGTAACAACTGGTAGAACCTCAAGAGTTTGGCCCTTAAACACCCTTCATCCAAGAACTGAATCCACTCCTGGAGATCACCTTTCAGTCAATCAATAGGCCTTTACAAAGTGAACAGTAACACCTGTGAGGAATATGTTCCTCAGAACAATCAACCATTCAAGGCCAAAAGGACGGCATTTCCCGAAAACCAAAGTTTAGAATGCAGGAAGATGGAGGAAAGAAGGATGGATAGAAAAGGGAACCAAAGGAGGACGTGGAAAGAGGGTTGCTACCTTGAGAGAGTTGCAAGCAATGTCACAGAACAAAATATGTACAAATTATTGAACAGAAAACTATTTTGTTCTGTAAACTTCCTTCCAAACCACAATAAATTAAAAAAAAAAAAAAAATCTCAGCTCCTGACTGGGGGGGCGGGGAAAGAAACCTAAGCTGAAAGTGGGTTTGCAAAAAGGATTGATGGTTCTTTGGTAAATTTGGAAATAAGACCAGGGTCTAAGAAGGACTGAAGAAGATAGAAATCAACTTTTATGTAAAAAAAAAAAAAAAAGTTTTATCTTGACATTAGTAATCTAATGCTTCATTGTTTTTAATAAATTCAAAACTATTTTACAGACTTTGTCTTATGTGTTTTGGTCATGTCCTCAGAAGGGACCATTCCCTGGAGAAGGATATCCTGCTTGGTAAAGTGGAGGGTCAGAGAAAAAGGGAAAGACCCTCAACAAGATGGAGTGACACAGTGGCTGCAACAATGGGCTCAAAGTGTAGAGAGGATTGTGAAGATGGCACAGAACCAGGCAGTGTTTCTTTCTGTTGCACACACGGACTATGAGTCAGAGCCAACTCGGCAGCACCTCACATCAACAACAATAATTTTACAGATGACAAAGGATTGATTTACATTCACAGAAGCGTATTTTCACAGTGCTCAAAGGTCTCTGAGAATGAAACAGCTTCATTTAAGCTCCACACTGCGGAGGACAAACTTTCCCTCTGTGAAATGCTGTCACATGCCATGTTTGTCTCCATGTTTCCTGTCTCCCCATTCCTACCCTCTGCTCCCCACAATACTGAACACTTTTCCATAAGAAGCCTTTCTCTTCAGAATTTCTAACCCTCAACCCCTAGCAAAACAGAAAGTGATTTCATATTCTTATATTCTTAATTACATGTGTTCATGGCACCATTTAAGATTTTCATTTTAAGTCTTTATGGTTTACTATGGATTTTTTTTTTAATTTCCAGTATTTTACAGACTTTTGGAAATCATACCTTTCTTATTCTGAATATCATATTAATCCAGAGAAATAAATCTGCTTTTTCATCAGATTGAAAAGACAGATTTTATTTTTTTTTCTTCTGTTTTCCTCAACCTTTCTTTATATCTTCTCTTCCTGTCTCCCTCTTCTACCCTCAGAATCACCAGCCACCTGAGACCCTGAGTTTCCGCTGCCTTAAACCTTAAGAAATTGGCAGTGAGATGGAAACCAGAGGAACCCCCAGACTATTGCCCTAAAATATCCTTTTAACCTGGAACTGAAGATACGCAAAGAGGTCTCCTTTCAACCAAACAATTAGTGGATTGGCTTATAAAATAAATATCTCCCTTGAGGAATAAAAACAAAACAAAACCCACTGCTATCAAGTCAACTCCAACTCATAGAGACCCTAATTGTGCTTCCAAGGCTTATAAATCTTTACAGAAATAGATTGTAGATTGCCTCCTTCCTCCTATGGAGCAGCTGGTAGGTTTGAACCACTGACCGTCTAGTTAGCAGCCAAATGTCTCACCCACTACTCCACCAGAGCCCCTTAAACAATCAACTGCACTAGACCAAGCAGTCAACATTTATCCAAAAGCAAAGACCAGAAGGCAAAGAGGGGCAGGGAGGCTAAATCAGTGGAAACAGAACAAACAGAATGAAAATAATGTGAATGCTGACATATTGTGAAAATTTTAATCAATGTCATGTGAAAAATTGTATAAAAATTGTTAAATGGGAACCCAATTTCCTATGTAAACTTTCATTTAAAACATAATAAAATAGTTAAAAAAAAGTTAATGGAAGATTTATGCAACTCCCTACAGTCAGTACTTCCAAATGACTAAGAACCCTCAGAACTAAAGGTTTGATTCACCACACTTGACAAAAGTTCTGTCTTGTTAAGATTCTTGCTAAGGCCAGGAAAACTTAGATTGGATGTTGGAGGAAGCCACATAATCATTTGCAAAATAAGGGCTGCATCTTCTCTCCGTATTTTTCTGTTTAGTGCTAGACTACAATATATATCAGTTATTTTTCATTTTTTAATATAATCTTTATTTTTCAACAATATTATTTTAAAAAAGAAGAAGTTGGCAGTGAGCAAGAGTCCAGGACCTTTATCTTTGAATTATTATGGAGATATTTGTAACAATGATTAAAAAAAAAAATTAAGGATGCATGTCATTAGGACTTTGTACCAGATACAGATTTGGGTATAATAATAACATTATTAAAAATATTTAACTGTTTTGATTGTGCACAGTTGTATTCATACGTACAAGAAGCACATTCCTACATCAGGGCCCATGTTTTAGCTATTCCCTTTGCTTGCAACATTGTTATCCTAAATATCCATAAGGCTAATTCCTCTCCTAGGTTTCTGGGCAAATGCCTCCTTGTTAGTAAAGGCTTCCCTAAACACCCTGTCTAAAATAGCAAGCCCCAGATTTCTTATGCTTTACCCTCTTCATCTCTCAC